CTAACTACCAGGTCTCAAATTTGAGGCAATATTTTGAGACTAAAGCTAGAGACTGCTTAGTGAATAGTAACTAGTCACAAATTGAGATTTTACCACAAAATGTCTCAAATAGAGACTAGAGACTGGTTACAGAATCCCGCTATTTGTCTATTTTACCATATGATGCATACATGAAAAGTATATGAAAATTTGTTTAGACTCCCATAAGATGTACGGAGCAGTAAACTAAACACAGTCAACACAACTAACAGAAACGGCAATAAATGTAATTCCGTGGGTTGCTTTTCGGGTACATAGAAATTTTATTTGAAATTTTAAAATTAATGAAATTGCAGATATTTTTGCTTAAGAAGTTATTATTTTTAATGTTCAGTCTTAATTTCAGGATACCGCGATTGTGTCTTATAAATATTTTTGGTCAATTATTCATCATACAATTAAACATATGAAATGAATGGGTTACCTTCTCACTTCGTTGGATCTTATAACACCAAAAATGTATATGTTTGACTGAAAGTTTAAATAAAAAAGTATTACCATTTTCGTATTGTTGGTACCATTTAAAAAATTATATATAAGCTTTTATCATTTGATTCCCATTACTTTATTATACCATCATCAGGCTATATTATGTTTACCTACATATAAGCAAACTAGTCCCCAGTTTTTGATATCTCGATCCCTAATTTGTTTGACGTTCTTTTCTCCTCAAAAAGTTACACATTTGTCGGAGCCGGCGCTATCGGGCCATTATAGCATATAATGGCCATATAAACTAACCGGTCAAAATGAATAATATAATTTGCATTATTTTAACAAGTTTTATCGCGAATATGTCGATAAGGGAGTATTATTTATATAAATGTTATCGATTATACCTGAGCAATGTCCAAATTAATACAATCAACCCATCTGTCTCTCTGCCTCCAAAGTCTATATATTGTATATAACAAGTAAAATAGTGCTAAGTTCGAGTGCAACCGAATACTGTCATACTCGCTTGGATCAAAGCCAGGGAAATACTTTCCGATATAAAACATCAACCAGAGAATCGGAATCTAAGAAATTTTATATATATGGATTCTACATACAATATAACTTATACTCTGACCTACATATTCGGCATAAGATTTGTTAAAAAAACAAAAATAGTATCGACTCGACTTAACTTTTATCATGCCATATACATTAAATAAAGTTTCTTTTGATTCATTAAGGAACCCCACATACAGTCACCAATCATATGGAGTAAGATCAGTAAGATATTCGAAAATCCTGGTAATGTTTATATTGGGTCTATGTCAAGTTTTCGCCCAATTGCAACTATTTTAGGTATAATTACATACTGCTATGAGTAAAATATGTTCTGTAATTTTCACTGAGATAACTTAAATATTGGCCTATACATCTAATACAAAATCACCTGGAAGTTCGAAAATCTTTATATTGGGTGTATGGAGGCTCAGAAGAGTTTTAACCACACTCAATCCATTTTTGATACACGAATCACCATTGTCAGGGAAGGATTCTGTCTGAACTTCAATTGTATATCTCACATATTGAATGATATTTTCGGTCAAAAGTCAACTATATATACTGGAATCCAGATTTTCGGTACCTATGTTCTTGACCAATTTTTGAGTTGGATTTCTACAATTTTTGGTCACAAGGTGGCATACTTTAAGGGAATTTTTACTGGTACTACTATTATTTTATTTCTTTATTATTTAACATGCAATTTGTTTTTAATACGATTTATACCCTTTTATATGTGCCATTGCTAAGAAGATCACAGACTGCAGATGAACGCGGACAAGCCAATGTATCCGTTGAACCTGTTGTTCATACCATTGTACCTGTACTGAATCTTGCACGGCGATCACGTCGTGATATTTTGGTTACTATTGCTACCTATTGCTGTTGTCAGCGAAAAAGTTGTAGGCAAATTTGGTTGTAGCTATGATCTTAACTGCTGAATCAAAAGGAGAATTTTTTTGATACTGCATATCCTTATGATTCCAACTGATATGCCATTTCTATTCAACCGATTACAATTAAATTTTAAAATAGGCATGAAATATTTTAATGTTTGAAT